CAGCAGCCTTCAGGTAGTAGTTTGACTAGTTTAATGAAGATTTTAATAGGAAAAAAATATGAGGAAACAATTGCCCTCATTTTTCAGTATTTTTTTAAAATCTGACACATCATAAAATGTGGCAAACAGTTTATGAACTAAGAGGACAGATAAAACAATATTTCAGTATGTAAAGTATAATTATTTTTTTTAAGATGACAAATCAGTGGAGCTTGCTGTAGTTACACAGTAATAATGCTCTGTTGCAGAGCTAACTCCCAGCACAGAAAAAGCTGGCAGTTTCCTAGGACAGCGGACCAAGAAAGATTAAGTTGGGATTTACAGATACAGTGATCCTAAAGAAGTGGATCTGTCGAGCAAAGCAGTTGTTACAGAGGGCCCAGTCCCCAAAACATGTGCATTTCCAGGGAGTTAATTTTGGAATAGCTGTAGTGCCCTGGACCTCTCTCTTCTGGTGTCCTGGACCAAATGCCCATCAGTGGTTGAAGTGCACAAGGTGCCCCTGGCTAAAAAAGTCCTGACTAAAGACTGAGCACTGCCCACTGCTCTGGACAGCTGGGCTGGCTGGCACCTGCCTAGTGCAGATGAGGAGGTTACTTCCAGTAGGAAAAGCCATTGCTTTCTCTTCCGCTATCCTTCTCGTGGTAACAGGAGAGCAAGCTGGATGCACAATGGTTATTTCCCTTTCAGCGCCCCTCTAGGGCTGAAGTAAGCTTTGTGAAGCATTTCCTGTACTTGGCTGTTGCAATCTTAGGTTTGCATACCATCCAAGAGCCCTACTTGCAACAAAAGCAGATGAAATGAGAGAAGATCCTTGATCCAACTCTGTTGGTCCAACTCCATGGGTGAGAAAAAGTTTACAGTATCTCCATACATGAATTCTTCAAACTTTTACTTGATATTCCTCCTAGAGAGCTGATAATTCTCAGTATGAAAAGCACTCAGGAGACAAATTCTACGTTCCTGGTTAATTTCAGTGAAGCTCCCAGAAAAATGATAGGTATCTGAAAGCTTGTAAAACACGTAATAAGGAGGGCCAACAGCTTTGAAAATGTCTACTGACCACTTCCATACAGCCTGATTGAGCACAAGCCTGAAAATGTTGGCATATTTGGAAAAAGCTGATATTCAAGTTGTTTTAAGTGCAGTAACAATCAGAAAACATGTAATTTCACAAGAGAAAAAGTAAAATGATGTCTAGAGCAAAGTTTTGTTCTGTGCAAATGCCTACACTCATCCTTTTCTTATTAAATCCTCAAAAATTTTCTTTCAAAACTTCATTCCAGTTAAGAGTGCATTGTTACAGTAGGGTTTTTTTCTTGCTAAGCAAACTGGTGAAAATGTGATACATTTCTTTCCCACACATCCTCAGTAGCAAGACTTAGTTTATCAGTCCTATTTACCTGCCACAGCTTCAAAGCCAACTGATACCCACTCTACAAAATATTTCTTATAAAACTGCAACCTCCTTAATTGTCATCTCCTGCTCATATTCTGGTTACTGGTTTTCATGTCTGATGCTCTTAATTCTTGGTTAGTTTTCATACTGTTCTGTGGATCTTCTCATGTTCCCTGGAGATGCTTTCCTGACCATCCCTGAGAAGGAGGTGGTTATCGCATGTACCATACCTTCAAACAGGGCTGCAGGCCATTCTAGCTTCTTTGGTCCCTCTTTCGAGGGAGTCTTCAGCAGCTCTGAGTGTGACTGTGCTCATTTTGTTAACCCCAAGTTTTATGTTTAATCACTGTTCCATTTTACCCATACCATTTAAGGACTACTCTGTTATCTTTCACAAGCAGAAGTACTCAGAGAAATAGCTTTGTTTTGCTCCAGTTGCTGTGTTTTCTCCAGTGGTGAGAGCTGTTGCTGCTACCTACCTTTTGCTGTACCATTGCATTGATACATAGCTCCACAGAGGCAGTCAGCGAGGCCCTGGCAAACAGCTCACAGCTGGTCCATCAAACCAGAGCAGAATTTACAAACAAATTTGTGCATGATTTCCTTGCCTTCCAGACAGAGGATTATCAGTGGCCTGTCAGTCTGAAACACCAAGCAACATGTTTTAATTAAAGCACAGGTAGAAAATATTCATTTGTATGTATATATATATATGTATATATATATTCAATTATAGATCAGACATTATTAACAGTAATGGTAACATTTCAAGTAGGCTTCCCTACATACAACTTTTTAATTAGACGGAGAACTTGCTATGGTGAAAGCACTTTATTTGCTCTCATAGTGACCACCATGCAATGACATCTCACTCCAAACCATTAATCTGAGTTTTCAATATCATGCTGTTTGATGATATTCTAATGCTTGGTCAAATTTGCCCATTTTAAATTGGAAGTCTTATCCACATTGCCTTTCTGTATTGCCTTGTACTGACCAGTTAGAATAGTCATGTCAATACAAGTCCAGCTCCATATTCAGTTGCTACTGTGATAGCTTGTAAACTTTAAATCTGACAATTCTATAGGAGTTGTAAACAAAGTTTCAGGAATGCTGGTCAGCCTTGACTGATTGCTGGAATTGCTATACATGCTATCACTCAGAACTTCTCAAATTAGATTGAACAAATGACTAGTAATGTGATTTAGGGAAACATCTTTCAGCATAAAAATTATTTTGCATTGCTTAAACACATTATTTTCCTTTTTCTTGGCATTCAATACGTATGATTTATGATGATATCACAATATTTTTAATGAAAGCAATACTATTAGCCTGAAAAATCTTGAGAAAGTTTAAAGAAGGGTCACTATAATATTTTGCTCTTTGAAATATCATGTCAAACTTCCTGGTCAGCTGCTACATGAAGTGCTGTTTACCTCACTGCACCTGAATGGATAGTAGATCCCATGCTGTCATATGTAACCTTTTTCTATTGTTCAAAATTTAGTGGACATCAATAGGACTTTGAACAACTAGTGAGTATGGCAGACCCCGTTGCCTATACCAAGACAATAAAGTTTGCCAGATGCTTTGGCGTCCTTCAAAGCAACAGAGCTGTCTGACTTCTTTTATAACAGGTGATTTGTTTCTACCGTCATATATGTACCAGAGCCTTCTTCTGACTTAAATACAAGCCTCCTGTTTCTGTCCAAGGTCAGGATTTTATCTGTGCTATGGCCCAAATAAAAAACTGTGCCTGACTTTCTGTTGCCAGGGTGCCTGTCCTGGCCCAGGACCTCCTGCCTCTTCCAGGAGCATGTCATTCAGATGTCTAAACTTTGCAACTAAGTTCAGCAGAAGGGATGAACTTTTGCATCAGAAGCTACTCACATTTAGTACTGGATGCAAACTATTTTCCCATGGCTAACATTTCCTGGTATGTATGTTACCACCAGGAGAGGGATGCCTTCACCCATCAGTTACTTTGTGAGATATAAATTATTTTATGGGAAAAAGTAGCTAAACAACACTTCTTAAAACATTTATTCTAAGTTATAACTATTGTGGGTTTATTGTGTGTCATTGGAGGAAAGGAGCAAGTTTGAATTCTCCATTGAAAACAAGAGAAAATAAACTGTTTTATAGATATGAACTGTAAACTTTAAAACATATCCTGCACTGTTAATAAGGGCAACCTTCCCATGGGGTCTACACTACTTACAGGCTTATCACTGAGTGGTTCTGCTTGTTTTCACAGGCGTGGAATGAAATGCCTTGGTTTTAATGTTGCCTGTGCCTTGTTTTGAGGTGTTAAGTTGATGAACATGGCCTTACTGAACCATGTTGATGGTGTACTCAAAAAATAGGAAAGCAGGACATTGAAATCCTCCATAATTTTCTGCAATATCTGTGCTCTTGCCCTAGAAATAGTGAGATAGTGATCTCTTCTTGCTGTCACATCCTTCTTTGCAGTGCTGTCCTTTCTCTTCTGGTATTTCTGGGAGCTCGTTCTTCTTACCTGGTCTCCCTATTGTGTCAGCTTCCACGGACTGGCACAACAAACTGTTTCCCAGAGTTACAATGACAGTAAGAGGGAAAAGATACTTTCCTAAACACCTGAATACATCTTCTGTGAAGTCTTTTAAGCGACATGCAGCAGGTCGCACCTGGAGGGTGGTCAGTTCAGGGCTGCAGGTTCAGTGACCTCCAAGAAGTTTGCTGGAGACTGTTGTAATGTCTTAATAGGAGAGCAGTATAATGGATGTTGCAAAACATGCTAGGAGAAAAGGGAGGGGCTGCTGATGTTCAAGATGAAGAGTAAAGTTATGTAAGGCATGTGCAAGGATGGTGGGTTAATTGGAAAGAGTACAGAGGGCTGAACCAGAAAAACAGAAAAAGATCCCAGGGTGTGGGTAGGGAGAACTGGGGTAAATTAGAACAAAACGAGAAAAGAAGCACAGAAACAGAAACATACAAGTCAAATTGTGAAGGGAAAAAAAGAAAAAAAAAAAAAAGAAGAAGAGAGGCCAGCACCAGAGGACAGCCTGTTGGAAATCTAATGGACATCAACAGCAAAGACATTGGGGCAGGCAGCATATGAGGCAAGAAGAGTGGGAGAGAGGCGACCAGCAAGACAGGCTCTCAGAGAGGATCTCCTCCATCCCTCAAGTGACAGGAAAAAAACCAGTCTTCTACTGGAACAAGAAATTTTCATAGTTCAGTGACTCAGACCTGTAGCAGCCAGATCTGCTGTACCCAGCATGAGGAAAGCAATACTGTATTCTGTACAGGACAACAGGGAAAGTTATCTCTCTCAATTAACAAATAAATTAGCAAGAGAAATAAGCTTTAGTGCTGGTTATTGAGGTGAATTTGCTTTAACTCCAATGACAAAACAGACTGCAATACCTAATCCAATGCCTCAATTCTGCAAACAGAGCTGTTTGGAGTTGTGGGTGGCTGTTGTGTGGACTGTAAATCCAAGGATATTGACTTGGGTTCAAAACAATGTGGGGGGTTGTGTTTGTTGGTTGGAAGAGAATTACAAAAAAAAAGGAGGGGAACCTGGTTGTAATCCAGATTACAAAGTGTCTGAGACAGTGGTACACAAGAGCCACTGTTCTGGCTTCTGCTCCCGTTGGTACATGGCTCATAGTGATTTCAAAAAGTAGCTGCAACTGAGAAAAATCAACAGGCAAGTTTTACAAGGTGGCAAAGGTTGCATTTTGCAATCCGGCTGGCAATCCGTCCCCAACTGGCAAACCCTTTAAGTATGTGTTTAACTGGGAAGACAGGATTAATCCTATTGATTGTAACAGGGTTAACTACATAGGTACAGTGCAGTGATGTTTACAGCCTCAACCAAACTACGCAGAGAAGCGAGGCTCTAAACGAGGACTATTTATTAAAAATCCACTTTGGTCGTGCTTTTATGTACCAAAGATTTTTCAGACTCGATCTTTTAACTTGTAGATTTCCCTCAAGAGCTGCTCCGTTCTAACCACAACACTTTGCGCATCTCAAGCAGTGACCTTCCATTTTCCCATCCTTCCTCTTGCCATGGTGGTGAAAAACGTAAGAATATGTGCGGGTTTAGTGTTTTGTTTTTTTTTTTCCTTTTCTGGCCAGTTCGCGGGCAGGCCTCATCTCTAGCTCGACGGTTGCCTTCGATGCTGGGGCTTTCCGCAGCCCCGAGCCACCGCCCTGCGCTCAGCCTCGGCCGGGAGAGCCCAGGTTCGGTCCCGGCAGTGCCGCCTATCCGGGCAGCGCCGTGATCGCTCATCCGCGAGGGGTACTCGGCATCCATCATCACCCGTCCAGCATCGCCGCTCAGCCGCGACTCCCTTCACATCCCCTCTCGGGCTTTAGGAGGGGCTGCTCGGCTGCTCGGGTGCTTGCCGAGGCAGTCGGGACGGGGGCAGCCCACCCCCCCGGAGCAGCGCTCCGTGGAGACGCTTTCCCAGCACCGCGTGGGAACCCATCTCCCCTGGCCCGGCGCGTCCCGCCCTCGGGCGCGCTCACTCCCCCGCCCCGTAAGTAGCGGCGGCAGCGGCCGTCGGGGCGCAGAGCGGGGATGGGGGCCCGCGGTGCCGGGCTGTACGTGGGGCGCAGGGCGGCCGCCCTTGGGGCCGCGCTGCTGCTGGCGCTCCTGGCCGCGCTGCTGGCGCTCGCCGCTCTCTACGGGCGCTGCCGGCAGGAGGAGGCACCGCCGCCGCCCTCGCCCGCCGCCCCCAGCACCCCCGCCCCGCCACCGGCTCCCACCGCCGGCCCCGTCCGCCGCCTACCCCGCCACCTCCTGCCGCTCCGCTACGAGCTGGAGCTGTGGCCGCGGGTGCGGCCGGGCCAAGCCGGGCCATTCTCCTTCAGAGGGCAGGTGAACATCACTGTGCTGTGCCGGCAGGACACGGACGCGGCGGTGCTGCACAGCGCCGGGCTCCAGAGCCGCGGGGCCGCCGTGCGCGGGCCCCTGCCCGGGCTGAGCGCCGCCGTGGAGGTGGCGGGGCTGCGGCAGGAGGAGGAGGACGAGGTGGCGGTGCTGGAGCTGCGCGGGCGGCTGCGGGCCGGGAGCCGCTACGTCCTGCAGCTTGGCTTCCAGGGCCTCCTGGAGGACGACCTGGTCGGGCTGTTCCTCACCCGCTACACCGACCAGGGACGGAGCAGGTAGGCGGCGGCGGCCGCCCCGCGGACTCCGCGCCCCTTCACCGCGGCAGCGGAACTCCCACGGTCCCGCGTCGAGGCCGCCCGTGGCGGTGGAGGCTGCGGGACGCGGCTGCAGGAGCTGGCACAGAGCTGGCGCTGAGCTGGGCGGCACCGGGGCGAGCTGCTCGCTGCCCGGGCGCAGGAGAGGCGGCCGCTTCTCGCCCCTCCCCGGGAGAGCATCGCAGGATGCAAAAAGCGTGCCAGAAACTCCGGTCTGTGCTCCGGGATGGTCGCTCTCCTCTCCGGAGAGCCTTGGCCGTGCTGCCCTGTCTCTCCGTCGGCAACTGACTTCCCCCGTAGCACCGGCTGGACAATTTCTGGTCTCGCTTTCAGTGCCTTTGGCAGCGAGGGGGGCAGACAGTTCCTATGCCCAATTCCCGGGAGCCGCAGTCCATCTCAGAAACTTCATGCCGGCCCCACACATATCTGTGTAACAGCGACAACTCCTCATTTCCTCAACCTGTGTCTGTGAGGAGGACGTCTTTGTCAAGAATCCGGGATTTTGTCGATGTATTTGGGCATGAGTTTAGAGACGCCGATCACATGCAGTTTCAGAAATAAGGGGGAGTAGGATGAGTGACTGCTTTAGACATCTGTACTTTGTAGGTGCTATTCGCATGAAGTTGTTTGGCTGTCATCAAACAATCCATGATTTCCGTAGGGAGTGCTATTAGGATGCTTTCCTTTTCTTTTGAACTGCAAAACCGGTGCTGGAGCTGTGTGAGCTAATCAAGCAGTCAAAGGTCTAAAACATATTTTCACCCTCAAAATGATGCTTGTTTATCTTTTTTTTTTTTTAATTTTGGATCTTCCCAACATGAATTTCATTCTCAACTTCTGGACACGAAACTTGCTGAGAGAAGTGAAATTTAAGATCAGAATTTAAGTACTTCTAGTGGCAGGCAAGTTTCTCAAAATAGAAGTTTGAAGAAGAGACAGATAAATCACTCGTTTTAAAGTTATTTCATTTTTAATATTTAAAGCACCAAACAGTGAGTCGAAAGGAAAACTGGAGTTAAATTTAAGTATTCTTGTCTACCACCCTATCAATGAGTCTACTAAAATGCGTGGGTTCATAGGCTTCTTGGTTGGTTGGGTAATGTAATAAAATATGCAGTTACTTTCAAGATCCATACATGCAAGCCTCCATATGAGTAGTTGTAATATGAAAACACAAAATGAAGTTGATAATTTTTTTGAAATGGAGAAAGACTGTGTGGCTTTTCTGCAACAAGTTGGCTTTTCAGCTGCCAGCTCTTGTATAAATCTCGATACCAATGTCTGCCACATCTGGAAAATGTAACTTAGATGGACTTTTTTTTTTTCTTTTAACAAAGAGGAGATAAGTTGGTAAACCTTAGAGAAAAATGCAGTAAAGTAAAAAATATTTTAGGAAGCATATTCTGTTTTTCTCCAGTTGCTGTTTCTTCATTCACTGATTGTTCTTCATGGGATTATTTGTGCAACTTTTGAAGAAAGGAGAATCTAGAACAATTTACTTAATTTACATAATTTTTAAAGAAAGGAACAAACCTTAATACTGTATTGGTATGCTTTCTGATGCTGTATTAATTCAAACAAGTCCTATGTAGGAAACACAGAATTAGATTATGACATTTTCTGATTCAGACTGTATAAAATTCAGAGTATCTGAGGAAAAAAAAGCTATTGTCAGCTGCCACAGTAGAAAATAAGAAAAATTTTTTTAAATAATTCAAATAATGTGTATAGCTCAATTTCCAATTGTTTAGAGAGTTTATTACGAAGGTCCCATTTCGTTCTTAGTTCATCATGAAGCACTAATGAAATGTGAGACTACAGTCTGGTTAAAGAGATCACAGTGGTAGTCAGACAGTGGAATAAATTAAAGGAAATCCACTGATGGCAGATATAATGTATAATTTTTGTTACTTGTTTGTGCACCCATTTCTGATATTTTTGAATGGATTTTGCGTAATTTTTTGCTCTAAAAAAGGCTTTCTCTGAATCGAGAGTATATAGTAATATCTTGTTATTTTTCCTTCACTAAGAATTAAGTCACCACTTAACCAGCCATTTCCTAATCTGATAGGGTCCACTAACACTGAAGGGTTTTGCATTCTTATTTTGGAGGAAATAGGTTTTGAGTGATATGTAAGCTCTGTCAAGCTATTAACAATGGAAAAAGTTGGATTCTAAAGGATTGCATAGATCAGGAGTGCTTTAAAACCATTCAGTGCCCTTTGGCTATCAGTACAAAGCCAGTTACCCAGCTACTGTTCTGCAAGGAAACCTCCATCTCCAGCAGACTGTCCCATAGCTTTTCTAAAGTGACTTGTACCAGTCTTCAACAGACCTTCAGGGTCTGCTTCCTGCAGAGGTTTTCTGATTTCAGCACCTCACTTAAACTGCCAACTGTAACAGACAATGTGACATCTATCTGTGGTCATGCAGACTCCTGTATTTCTTGCATGCACTAGAAGTCTTCGTGGGTTTTGTAATTTGTGCTTGTGGAACCCTAGAGACCTCTTGTCTCAGAAGAGTTTAAGCAGATAAGTGCAAGCTTTTGGTAGACACCTTGATCCTAATGAGACGTGAAATCCCTGAAATGTTTGTTCCATCTGGACTTTGGCACTGTCATATTTCTCAGTCAGATATCCCCATTGCTCTTGGTAGACTGGCAGAATGAGCGAGTTGACACAAACTGTCAGTCCCTGTCTTTTTTTGAAGTCAGAGCTGTTGTACACTGGCAAGGTGGTTTCACAGAAACAGCTATTTTCAGAAGTCCTAACCTGACCTCCATGGAAAACATAATAAACCAATTTTGCTGAATTTTCAAGAAAGAAATTTTTAGGTATCAGTTTGATCATTGATGACTGCATATGTTTTACTGTTGTTGACAATTTGTACTGCCCACCTGATCAGGTCTTACACACAAAAGATAACTCTGAAACATGGGAGCACTTGTTATGGATAACAAGCAGCCCATGTCTCCACTGCTTGCAGGAGCAAAGGAAGTGAAAAGGAAAGATGCTCCCACTTCTCCAGCACTAAGTGTTTGAAGGCTCTCCTGTTGAAATGAGGAATCAGTATTCTGCATATAGCTGTGATAGTCCATACCAGGATCTGGGTAGGCAAAAAGATACAGAAACCACCTTTGCTCTCCTTCTCTAGCACTGCTGGCTCAAACTTACATGATGCAGGAGTTTTGCTTCTATCGTTCTGCACAGGGATCTTGCACGGCCGTGGATGAGCTCGTGGGTGCTACTCCAGGATTAGAGGGTTCCTGTGGGGTGTACGATGAAGTGCAGGCTGTATGCAGGTCACTGTTCAGGTCAATGTTTCAAAATCCTTTGAGAATTTTACTTGGTAGCCACTCTGCACATGCCCCGTGCAATTTCTGTAAAATACTTGACTGGATAGGGCTGGTATTAACAGGCATCCCAACACAATATCCAAACACAATGTTTGCACAGATTTTTATCAGTTGCTTCTGCACCAATTCCTAGGATGAGAGTAAAGGGGTTAGAACAGCACTAGTACAGTTAATTTTGCCTCAGAGCAGAGGACATGCAGTTCTTCTTAGCTCTGTTTTCTATGACTCTGTGAGTAAGACTGTCAAAGGAGTGAGACAGAAATCAGAACAAG